CATATGTTGGGCCTCTGCGGTTCCAAAGGTGGTTCTTTATCTTGGACTTCCTCTGGATGCCTGGTTAGCTGGGGCTGGTGTGGACCAGGAGAGCTGCCTCTGGAGTAAATGGAATTGGCCAACTTCCGGACGACTCGTACTTGTCCTTTAACATTATGTAAATTTGCTCTCGCTTTGAAATGATTGAACCAATCCCTACTCGAAACAGATTCTTCATCACAGTCACCTTCACTTGCTATGGTTTCCCAGGAGCGGCTGGTGAATTTGAACTGCCGACCTTTTGGTTAGCAGCCAAGCTCTTAACCACTGCGCCAACCTCATAAGTCAGTTGCAAAAGGACGAATACTGTGTGATCTCACTTATACAGAATAAGCGAATTATAGAAACCAAAGCTGATTAATGGCTACCAGGGGCAGGAGGGAGGGAAAAGGGGGAGGTTTAGCTTTGGAGGGCATTAGGTTTATGTTAGTGGTGGTAGAAAAGGATAGCGGTCATGGTGGCACAGCATGAAGAATGTAATCGGTGTCACAGAATTGTAAATGTGGAAGGCGGGTTGGCGAATGTTTTGGTGTGTATATTTTCACCGCAATTGAAAAAAAAAAGAAGAAGTAGCAGCGGTGGCAGGTCGAACAGTGGCAAAGTGATGTTCCCTCTGTGCGTCCTAACTCAGAGCTAATCAGATTCCAACTGTACTCCGGCTTCTGGGGGAGTGAAGCTAATAAAGGAGGGCGGTGACGTGGGAGGAGGACAGAGGACACATGAAGTGACCGGAGGACAGCATTTCTCTGTCCGGTACATTTTCCCTGCTAGAGTCGGGGCAAGGTGTTATATAGCCAGATACTCAGAGACGGGTAAACCGAAGCCCTGCCTTCAAGGAGCTCCTTGTGTGCCGAGGCAGAGACGTGTGCCAGAGATTAACATAAGCCTGAAGGGTAAGTCAGCTCCAGGAGAGCCTAGGGATGCAGAGGAGGTGCCAGTGCTGCACATGGGGACACAGAGAAGAATGCAATACCCACCTCAGGTCCTGGAGCGAATCGTTGTCAGGGAGTGAGGGAGAGGGCATGTGTTGCAGGGAGCAGGGGCATGGCAGGGGGTGTGTGAGGTGGAGGGGATAACAACAAGTTGTGTTGTTCTATTCAGGGAGTAGGGAGAGTCCTTTGTGTGGGCTTGGTAAGAAAACGGGGCGGGGGGGCTGCAGGTGGAAAGTGAGTTAGGGTCACGGTAGGGAGGTGGCATTTCACCTGCAGGCACTGGGCGGCCGCTTCTGCAGGGGGGCCATGACTTAGGGAGCTGATAGTGTCCCTGGCGTGTCAGGTGCTTGAAGAGGGTAGATGGAGGGAAAGGGACCAATTAGGATGTGGTTGTGATAGCCCTGGGTGAGGGCAAGTTGCGTGTCCTGAATCCGTCGGGTGGTGGCAGTGAGGATGGTAGGAGGGGAGTGATGGCAAGAGACCTAGGGAGGGAGAGAACCTCTGGGACTCGGTGACCTGCCTGAGGAGGTGCCAAGGTGTAAGTGCCAGGGACGAGGAGGGCAGCCTCACTGGCTAACTGGGAGGTTTAGTGAATTTGGATGTATGAGTTTAAAGTATCTGTGGGGTGTCCAGGTAGAGCTGTATAGTGGATGGTTAGAACTGGGGTTTGAGTTTGAGGGAAAGGACAGAATTGGCACTAGATTTAAGAGTCACCTGTGTAGAGGTGACAGATGAGACCAGGTTCAGTGTCCTCCAGGGCTTCCAGCAACAGGTGTCCCACCTGCCCTGGGATTGTGGGTTGGGGCTGTGTTTCTGGAAGATGCCTTGGCAGACTGTATCAAAAACCTGAAAAAAAAAAGGCTGCGCTTAAGAGGGCTTAGAGTGCACACTGGAGAGAGGATAAGGAGGCAGGGAACACACCCACCGCCCATCTGGCCTCCTCTCCCTGTCTGTGCTCCTGAAAGTCATGTATTAATACTTATCTTAAAGATGGAGAAATACTGGTCATTTTGTTGGCACTGTCCATGCTGTCATTTATTATTTATTTATCTGTCTCCTTTATCCTTAGAAAAATGTCTTTGCAGATACCTAAGAACCTTTCTTTAATGGAAGCAGATGGAGTTGAATGTACGGTGCAGGGAAAAGAATTTTCTAGTAAGTGAAGGGCAGCATCTCTTCAGAGATCCCATTTTGGTTAAACTGTTCTTAGGGGCTATGAAACTGGATGTCAGAAAAGTAATTCTCTACAATTTCAGAACCAAGGTGAAATTTAAAGGAACTTAATAATACAAGAGACGCCGCCCCTCAGCAGAAAGGATCGTTACGTTAGTTCTCTGTAGTCCTGTATCTGCTGTGAAAGGAGAGGTTTCCTGATCAGACAGAGACCAGACCAAGGAAATTTTGGTCAGGGAAGATGAACAGCTAACTGCTTCTTATTAATTTCTTATTGTTATTCAGTCTATGGTGTTACACATTTTGTAGCTTTTTGAGTTGGATATTTGATTATTGATATATGTATATAAGACTATTATTAATTTTATACTAAACACTGCTTTAAATGCCACAAAAACAAACAAACAAACAAAAAACCTAAAAAAGAACACAGCCCTTGCCTCAGGATTCCATTTTTCTGCGTAGGACTTAATTGACAAGTGTGCGAAGACAATCACATAGTGGTGTTTATTTAACGAACAACTGGAGGCTAGCTAAATGTTTAACAACAGGGGATTAGGGAATTGGTTAAAATATGGACCAGCCATCCGATCCAACAGTGTTTAGTTGTTAAAATGATGAGGTAGATATATATTCATTGATGAAGAGACATGCATGATATACCACTAGGTTGAAAAAACAGCTTAGAAAGTTGTGATCCTGTTTCTATAAAAAATATATTTCTTTTTTCCTCTCTTTTATTTTTATTTTATTGTACTTTAAATGAAGGTTTACAGAACAAATAGTTTCTCATTAAACAGTACACATATTGTTTTATGACAACGGTTAACAACCCCACAACATGTCAACACTGTCCCTTCTCAACCTTGGGTTCCCTATTACCACCTTTCCTGTCCCCTCCTGCCTTTTAGTCCTTGTCCCTGGACTGTTGTGCCCCATTAGTCTTGTTTTGTTTTATGGGGCTGTCTAATCTTTGACTGAACGGTGAACCTCGGCAGTGACTTCATTACTGAGCTAAAAAGGTGTCCGGGAGCCATACTCTTGGGGTTTCTCCAGTCTGTCAGGCCAGTAAGTCTGGTCTTTTTTTGTGAGTCAGAATTTTGTTCTAGCTCTGTACGGGACCCTCTGTTGTGATCCCTGTCAGAGCAGTCAGTGGTGGTAGCCGGGCACCATCTAGTTGTGCTGGACTCGGTCTGGTGGAGGCTGTGGTAGTTGTGGTCCATTAATCCTTTGGACTAATCTTTTCCTTGTATCTTGTTTTCTTCAAGGAATATATATTTCTAAGGAAAAAAGAATGTAAGGATATAAATCAAAACATTATCACTTGTAATTTTTTTGTTTTTTGCTTATCTGCAATTTACCACAGACAGCATGTATTAAAATTCTTTTTTCTAATCGTGGGAGTTGCTAACAGCTGTGAGACATGGCAGAGAAGATTGGGGATTAAAGACAGAGCCGAAGGCCAGGACAGGAAGGCAAGGCTGACACCCTGAGGGCAGAGAGTACGTCTGGGTGCTGGAGGGGTCTCTGTGTTAGGCTCGCTGCTGGCTTGCTTTCTGCTGACAGCTGGGAAGCTCAGGGTGTTTTCCATGGCTGCTGCCACAAGGCTGGTGCTGACGGGCTGGAGATGGCTTCCCTGGAGGGGATGTGCCAGACTGGGATGGGGAGGCTGGTACCAGTGGGGAAGGGGAGATGTGTTGTGGCCCTCTGGGTGGGAAAGCTGGTGAGCTGCCCCACGCTGTGTTCTGGGCGAGCGCCTTTCTGTGGGCTTGGGTGGGCCAAGCTAGGGCAGGCCAGGCCTGTTTGTCTTTGTAACTGTCCCTTCCCTCCTCTCCTCCTCATCCCCCCGCTGCCCACTGTCACCATCCCCAAGGGATCAATGGGACAGTGAGAGGGCTGTGAAGGTGGGTCTGGACCAGTGACACCTGGGTGTGTGGCGTGGGGGTGAGGGCTGGGCAGGGGTCAGGAGAACCAGGAGGTTTACGGTGAAGAGCTGACACCGATGCTCTCGTGGGCTCGCTGTGTGGCCTCTTGAGCAAGGCTTTCTCAAACCTCCTGAAGCCTCCATTTTCTTATCTGTAAAATGAACATAGTGATACACCTGCTTTATAGGATAAAAGAGATTGCTTTATAGGACTGTTGTAAGTCATCTAGTGTGTGTGCAAACACTTTATGAACTTAAGTGGTAAGGCACTCTTCTTTGTAGGTCTCATTTCTTGTGCTTTCAGTTTAGACATCTCTCTGGAGAGAGGGGTGTGGCTCTAACCCACCCTGGGTTTGGAGCGGGAGAAAGAGGCAAGAAAGGAAAAGGAGGCTGCTGGGCTGCCCCTGCAGGCACCACAGGGTTGGCACGTTCACCGACAAGCTGGGTGAAGACTGCGGGGCGGGGGGTGCTTTGCGGGAGCAGGGGGTCTGATGGCCGGGCCCAGGCTCTGTAGGTGGGTACCTACCATCCAATTTCCAGCCTGGGGCTTAACAAATGGGGCCTGGGGTGGGGGTGGGGGGGAGTGCCTAACCCTGTACCTTCAAGGAACTTGCTGATGTCCCTGTAATTTACCTATAAGTCCCACCTGAGAGAACTCAGGGCCTCATGAGGCAGAAAATAAAGCACAGGTGCTGGACCTCCTGCCACCAGAGCTGGGAGTGTCTTTACTTGCGTAGGAAGCTCCTGGCATCGCAGCCAGGCACAGGGTCCGTCGCTAGGGGGACTGGACCATTCCTCTCAGCTGCTGCTGAGACTTGGGACCACTGCCCAGGGATCTGGGGGAGCGGAGGCATGCGGACGGCGGCAGGGGTGGCACGAGGAGGCTGTGGGCTCCTCTGAGCTCTGCTGTCTTTCCTCAGCAGCAACCTCAGCATGGAGAGCGGAGTCGGCACAGCCCCCACCCCCAGAGGGCTGCCTTACTACGTAGCCTTCTCCCAGCTGCTGGGTCTGACCGTGGTGGCCATGACGGGTGCCTGGCTTGGCCTGTACCGAGGTGGCATCGCCTGGGAGAGCACCCTGCAGTTCAACGTGCACCCCCTCTGCATGGTCATCGGTCTGGTCTTCCTGCAGGGTGATGGTGAGGCTCCCACAGGGCTGTCCCTGAGAGAGGCAGTTTGCAGGGATCCCGTCACCCCCTGAGGTCTCCTCTAGCTATACAGATCTGCGATTTAGAAAAGACAGAGAAGGAAGCTGGGCTAGAGCCTCAGGACACTGGGAACCCAGTCAGGGTTCCTGAGGTTGGTGGGTGGCAACTCCTTGCCCGCCTTGTCCCAGCACTTGCATTCTTGCTTCAACAAGGAGCATCGAAGGCTGTGCACGTCCTAGGGCAGGGTGTTGGGCCGGGCTGTGGTTTGAGGTTGGAAAAAGGTGTATAGGAGTGCCCGGAGGGATGCTGGACTTGGCTGCGCTAGAGCGCCTCCCGGGGGTGGGAGCAGGGGTGCTTGGCCTCCATCCTGCCTGGAGGCTATGCGTGGCTCCCTCGGTCTGCTAACTAGAAATCTGGGTCTATATCTGGTTGAGCCATTCTTCCTAGATGGGGCCCTGGCCACAGCCATCCTCTCAGCAGCAGAATCCTAAGAAGATCCCCTGTGCACCTTGGCCCTGCCCCCTCAGCCAGTGAGGGCTGACTAGGTGGGGATCACAGGTTCTGGTTTGGGAACCAGGGGTTTCAAACCAGGGAGCCTGCTGGTTAACATAGTGATTGTCTGATCAGGTTTCAATATTGGACTGTTTGGGGACCAACCCGCTAAAAGGTGAACTCAGAAGCTTGATGGCACCTCACTGTTACTGCATGATGAACCTGGGATACACAGGACACCTGGGAAGGTGTCCATCTTGGGGTGGGGCTCTCCCAGGGGCCTGGCAGTCACTGTAGGCGGGGACTGTGGGCTGTGTCCCTCACCGTTGTTGCCTCTTGTGGCAGCAGGAATCGTGCCAGCCTTTGGGTGGATGTTTGGGAGCTGGGTGGATGGGGCTGGGGTGTTCAGGGACACACAGCCCGAGGGTGCCAACCTTGAAGGCTGGGAGCTGCCGAAGGGCCCCGGATGGGTTTCCTGTGCCTGGGATACCTTGACAGGCCCCTAACTCCACATCTCCTGCTATGGCGGGCCTCCTTGCTGCTTGCGGCAGGAAAGCCATGAACACAGTCTAACGTACTTTTTTCCCTTTCTCCCTTCTCATAAGCTCTGCTGGTTTACCGTGTCTTCAGGAACGAGGCCAAACGCACAACCAAAGTCCTGCACGGGCTGCTGCATGTCTTTGCGTTCATCATTGCCCTGGTGGGTGAGTTCCTGGCACGGCCTTCCCTTCTCCTGCTCCTAGCTCAGGCTCAGGGAAGTAGATGCTCCAAACATCTAAGCTCCTCACTCTTGTTCTGCTACATTTCCTGTTCCCTCGCCCCCAACCTTCCAGTATCCTAGGAAGGACACTCGGTACTGGCAGCCATAGAACTGCGACTGGAGCCCAAAAGTTCCAGCCAACCCAGCTTCCCTTGGATCGTCTTGTCCCTCCCTTTTCCATGTCCTCACATGACCTATCCTGTCTGGTCCAGGCTTGGTGGCCGTGTTCGACTACCACAAGAAGGAGGGCTATGCTGACCTGTATAGCCTTCACAGCTGGTGTGGGATCCTCGTCTTTATCCTTTACTTTGTGCAGGTGAGTCCTTTCAGCCCCACAGGTCCCTGGGCAACCAACATGGGATGGGGAGATGGGGTGGGGGAACAGGAGCGATAGCATAGCCCATTTTCCAGGGAGTCCCAAAGATGCAGGAGTGGCTTTAGTACAGTTGGATGCTGTCTTCAGATTGTGAAATGGGTACAAACCCAGGATTTTATAGCAGAGGGTGTCTTAGATCCCAGCTGCCCTTCTAGCTGGCTGGCTTAGCACATGTGATCAGCCATGTGCCCAGCCTTCCGAGAATATGAATATGATGAATTAAGGCCCCAAGCATTTGGGGGCCAGGACCCTTTCCCACAAGGGCTTAGTGCTTCCCCTGCCATTGCTCTTAAGATGGAGGAAACCAGGTAGATGGAGGAGTTGGCAGTCCTTGCTTGGAAGCAGCTGCTTTGGGTGTCCTCCCAGTTGCTCAGCTGATGGCCAGCAGGGAGGTGCCCAGCCTTGCTCAGTCCCCCAGCACCTCCTCTCCTTTCCTTCTAGTGGCTCGTGGGCTTCAGCTTCTTCCTGTTCCCTGGAGCTTCGTTTTCTCTGCGAAGCTGCTACCGCCCACAGCACATCTTCTTTGGTGCCACCATCTTCCTCCTTTCTGTGGGCACAGCCCTGCTTGGCCTGAAGGAGGCGCTGCTGTTTAAACTTGGGTGAGCGTCCCATGATACGAGAGGGCAGGGCCCACGATCACCTACAAAGATTGAGCCCTGCTTTCGGAGCCAGTATTTTTGGTGTTAGATAAGCAACAATTTTTCTGTTGGGGTGGGGGCAGAGGGGAGCTGGTGTTGGAATACTGGTTCTAGCACTAGGTATGAATGGCATTTTGCCTAACTGTGACCCCTTGGGTGGCTTCTCCCTTCCATTCTAACCCTGTAGGACCAAGTACAGCACATTCGCACCTGAGGGTGTCTTGGCCAACATTCTGGGCTTGCTGTTGGCCTGCTTTGGTGTGGTGGTGCTCTACATCTTGACTCGCGCTGACTGGAAGCGGCCACCCCAGGCTGAAGAACAGGCTCTCTCAATGGACTTCAAGACGCTGACGGAGGGAGACAGTCCTAGCTCCCAGTGATGGTGTGCAGCCAGCCTCCTCCCCACCTCTGTAGGGGTGATGTTTCTTTCTTCCTGCCCCCTGCTGAGGCTGTTCTCAGGATTAGTGGCTCCCGGGTGAGGGGCTCCTGCAGAGTGGCTGGGGAATGGGGTGCAGCTGTGTCTATTTTGGAGCTAATTTCTGGGACTAAGGGCTTAGCCTCCCTCTGCTTTCTCTTCTCACTGCTGCTTTAGACCAATTCTAGTAGTCACGCAAAGGCCCTGTGCACCTGTTGTCCCCTCAAATGGAGAAGGCTTTTGGGTAGGTTTTGGGTAGTAAGTCCTGTTGACGAAGAACAGATCCCTAAAGGAGACAGAAAGTGACTCCACCTCAAGGCAGTGAGGCTGGTGGGCATCAGTGGGCAGAAAGCAAGGCTGTGGGACAACCTGAGGGCCTCAGGGACAGGTCTGTAAAGGCCAAGCCTGCTGTGCTATGTAACCCTGGATTCACACCAGAAGCCCTGCCAGCCTGAATAACACATGGTATACATGGACCTGCTCCTTTGGCAGTGGGAGTGAGTGATATATGTGTAAAATATGTTGATGTTCAGAGCAACGTTCCCCAGGAGAGGGGAGAGACTGGCTCCTGGGAAGCTCCAGAGTCAGTTTGGGCCAGCAGCAGGCCTGAGCCTTCCCTTTTCTTTAACCCTTTCGCCCTAGGATGGCTTTGCTGGGAGAGGAGATAGAAGTGCAGGACTTCAGATGACTTCCCTTTGGCAGATGAGGCTAGCTACAGAGGAGGAAGGGTTTGATTCAGGACGATGTTCCCCTCCATGGGCTGGTCTGGGCAGCGGCCCCCTCCCCACCACCCAGTTTTGTGCTTTGACTCAAGCTTTTTGCTTGTGCAGGCACTACTCTGACCGGGAGGCTTTTTTTTTTTTTTTTTAAAGCTGTCATTGTTGCTTTCTTGTATGGGGAGACCCCTGCTTTGCTTCCAGAGAGGTCTCTCCCTCTCTTACCCAGTGTCCATCTTTGGAGGAACGTGATTAGACAGATGGCGGGTGGTGTCTGGACGCCCTCCAGCTCGTGAAGTGTGTTATGCAGTTAGCTGAGTCACTGTTTGGCTTCTGTCTGGAAATAACGTGATTAGAGCATCCATTGTGTGCTTTTCAACTTGGCAAATGCTCTCCTTGTTTTCCTCATTTTCTGGGTTTTAAGGAACATGACATAGTTTGAAGCAGACACAGTTTACTTAAATGAAGAAATCAACAGAAGTCCTGAATATGACTACTGTTCGTTTTAACAGTTGCCTTTCTTGCACCCAAATGCTGCCTTTAGAGAAGTGGGCTAGTCTTCCGAACGCTCAGATGTCCAGTCAGTGGCTTTCCCCATGGGTCCTGCCTCAGGCAACGTTCCTGCTTAGGCGCCATGGGGCTCTCTGGCCTGTCCTCTGCAGCCTGCCCCGGGCGCCAGTGTAAACTGTGCGCTCGGCAAGGGCAAGGGCTCTATCAGCTCTTCGGTTACCTGGCACACAAATGTTTACATGTGGAAAACTCCACCTTAGAGAGCCCAAGTACAAGTGCATCTCCTCTCCCAGCCAGAATGCCACTTAGAGAAACAGAACCTTAGATTTGCAATGAAAGTTGTAAACTGCTCTGTTTTCCAAAGTGTATGTTGGCAAATAAGGAGCCAAAGAAGGTCCCCCAAAAGACAGATCTGTAGTTTATTTTGCCTGCGGCCAATCTTCTGTGAAGTACAATGTGTTGTTGGCATAACAAATGATTCAATAAATGTCTACAGCAAACCTCTTGCCTATTCATTTACTGTGGCAATAAAAGGAGCCAGTGCTTTTAGCAGAGTCAGACAGATGAGTTAGTTCGAGGGTTGAGAGAAATTAAATAGCCACAGCCTGAGCACAGAAGGTAAAGTGATTAATCATTATCTATCACGGCGAAGGGTCTGAAATGGCCCCGGGCTTGTCCATTCTCTGGCTCCAGTGGAGGAGGCTCTTCCATGTGGTTAGATAAACCCTTTTCTCAACCTAGAGAGAATGGCTTGGAGAGTGGAGCTGCAGGAGCCTGATAAGGCCCCTGGCAAGAAGTTTCCCTCTGTATTCAGTTGACGTTTTTCCTTTTTAAATGTCTCTTTGTTGTTCCTTAATAAGAAGAGCAAAGCTTTTAGAACAAGCTGGGATTACACTTTAGATCAATTCATATGGCTCAGACAGGAACTGTGTTTGTGGTAAATTTGGTTGCACTTCTTACGCTGTGCGCTCCTGAGAAGTACTGTCACCTAAACCAGGGCTTCCAACTATCCCGTCTAGTTCGAAACCCTGCTGAGAATTTGCATTTCTAACGAATTCCCAGGTGATGCTAATGCTGCTGGTTAGGGACCAATTCTGAGAACCACTAGTAGAGCACTGGGTCTCAAAATTAGACATAAGAATCACCTGGGGATCTTGTTAAACTGTAGATTAAGCTTTAGTATATCTGGGGTGGAAATGCAAATTCTCAACGGGTTGAAAACGAATGGTTCAAAGCCCTGTGCAAAACAACCTAAAAACTTACCAGGGAGCTCACGATTTAAAGATATCCCACAGCAAATCACCTTCTGAGGTAAGTAACTCTTGTAACAAGAATATTTGGTTCCTTTGTTTAAGCTGTTTTCTGTATTGTATCTGGTGTCTAGTGTGTATGAACCAGAGCATGAGGCCTGTCCTTAAAGCATCTGTAGAGTCTCCTGAATCAGAGCTTCTCTGTGTACCTTATAGCACATGGCTTGATCCACGTCACCAGCCGACTTCTCAGTCAAGATTGGGCAGAGGGCTCTTGACCCTGTTTATGTGCCATCTCACTTCTGGCTTTTTGGGCTAGCCTTGAAATCTCATGGGTCACTTTCCTCAGCTGTTTGTGAATATTCAAATCCTCCCTGAGGAGTCCCCTTTGGAGGGCTACTCCTTCACCTCCTCTATACAAAACTAATGGAACATAATGGGCGTCTCAGGAGAATGGCCTATGAGAACAGCCTCTGAGCACTGTCCTGTGAAGGAGTTCCCTTTTAATCATAGGGCCGTGTAGACACCTTGTGAATGCCGTATCCTATTCCTAGGAATGACTGAGTTGCCAAGTCTCTCCATGCTCCTCCACTTTGTTTTTTTTTTAAAAAAAGCTGAAAGATGACATCTTTCTGTCTGTTCATTCCCAGCCTAGCGAAAGGGATTCCAGCTCCCCACGGGCACATGTGCACAGTGGCACGTCTAAGTCCGAAGAGTTACCGTAAAGGAATGAAAACAAGGAGGAAGAGTGTCTGGTCTGGTACTTGAGAATCTACAAAGGCTTCTGCTGAGTTTGTTTTTTGCTTCTGAGTGGTTTTTAATTCAGGTTCAGGGCAAATTCCTTTTAAGAATTAGCTTTTTAGGAATCATTACCTTTCTTCTTCCAAATGTCCCAGGCATCCTTAAAGGAAAAAGCTGGGGTTTCTGCCAACCACTTACCCATTTTTGAGTATAACTGGAGCAGCCTAGGAATGGTTTTCAGACTGAGTGGGCAGTTCCTCCCAGAGTCCTCCCCGCTTCTCTTTGAAGGCAGTCCTGGTGACCAGGCTGGGATGACTGCTTATGCCCAGGGGTCTTCCTGCATGCCCAGCTTCAGTTGTTTGGGGAAATGGCTGTAGTTACAGAGCAGGGATGTTTGTTTAGCACAATCTGATATCTAGCGGAAGTGGTCTTCCTTGCTTGTCCCTGAAGCAGACAAAGCAGCAGCCGTCGGGCAGGAAAAGCTGCAGGGCTCAGTGCCGGCCACTTTTTGTAAGGTACTGAGTGTCCAGCCAGTTTCAGGAAACCTGTAGTCCTCTTTGTGGTGAGGATTAGAAATCCCAGACAGATTTCTGAATAAAAAGTAAAGCCACTGGAAGCAGTGGGCTTCCAGCTTTGACCAAGCCAGCCTTTGGATCTATGGCTAAGGCTGTTACCCACTTATAGTCTTGGATTATGGTAAAGCAGCTGGATTGGGGTGCAGCTTTGACTATCAAAATGAAACCAGGAGAGCTCACTGCTTCCTTAGTATGCTGAAGAAGAAACTCTTCCACTGAAGAAAAAGCCTTCCTTTGTCAGTGAATGCAGAGGGCCTTTGCTGACCAGCCTTAGAACTGTGTCTTCTTGTCCACAGCTCTCTGAGTGTCTATCACAGTGTCTAACCCTGAGGAGGTACTCAGTGACCTCCTTGGTGAATAAGTGCATGAAGGGGTGACTCTGGGTGTCCCATGATAGACCAGCCAAACCATCTAGAATTTGACCTTAACCTGCCAAATTCGTCTCTGGGAGGAGCTTCCACAGCACTGCAGGTGTCAGTGAGGGCAAGCTGGAGATGCAGCTTCCTGGAGAGGTATTGTTATTGAAGGACAAAAGCACCACAATGGCCATGTTTTTCCAAGGGTTAACCATTTATAAATAAGTACATTTGCTTTCATACATACAGTTCATTGTACAGATGATGATCTGTAAACATGGGGCAGGAAAATGCATTCATTTAAACTTTTCACATCTCACACAGCTCACATGTACAGACAATAAAACTGCTCAAGCAAGTACAGCAAAGGAAGATGTCTTTCCTTATACACAGGGGGCTAGATGCCTCTGCTGGGCGTGGGACAGCCCCACTGCATGAGTTCACAACTGTGTGGTGTTCAATATATCAGGATAAAGAACAAACATGCATTGGATAATATACTGTACAGAGAAAGTCCTTTACATCTGAGTTATAGAAAACCTAAAGGAAAACTAAGTGCATTAAAGCTTTTTCCAGCAAGTGTCTTGAAAGGACAGCAAAGAGGAGTTAGAATCAAAATCATATTAGTACAAATCACTCTTTAAGTGTAGACTGTACATGTCTGTACTAATTAAAATCATCTTGGATTTGGAGGAGACAGAACAGAGACGAAGATGCTGTGCTAGAATGGAAAGGAGGCCATGCCTGAGAATGGCACCTGCCCTGAGCCTGACGAGGAACTGGCCCCACTCAGCAGGAATCAGCCAAAGGGGGTGGGGGGACAGCAAAAACCCAAACCAAACAGAACAGGAAGTGTAATTTACAGGATTTCCAAAATAACCTGTGAATGAAGTGGAGCTCTGGAGCTGGCATTTCTATCCTCCCCGCTCCCCCTACTAAGTTTGTACACAATAAGGCATGTACATTCAAGTACTAAATTTTCCAGAATTAACTGTTTGGTCCTGGGGACTGAAGCGACTGAGTCCCCCTAACCAGATTTTCTTGTTAGTGATTAGCAAAAGAAAAATTCGGCCAGCAAGTGGTACAAAAACAGAGCAGCTAGGCTACTTCCTTTCCACAGAGTAGGTCTATCTGAAAAACCAGAGCGATGCTGGCCTGCTTCTGTTGGCACCCAGCTAAAACCTGACAGCTCAGCTTAGTGTAGATATCACAGAGTCAGCAGGAAGAAATGAGATGATATGGGTGAGGAGACATGAAAGTAACACTTGATTTTTGGTGTCCAATTATGCATTCATTTGGTACTGAATTTCAAAGCTCTGACTGTGGTCATCATGTGGCCACAAGCATCGCAGGGTGGTTCAGCTGCTGTGAGGCATTGGACACCAAAATGAAGGTTACCAACACTTCAGCCCTTGAGTGGTCTGTATTATAAAAGAGTTGATGAAGACCCAGTGATTATTCAAGTAGCTCCGCACAGTGGCTCCACCAGCCCCATTGTGCTTGTATCCAGGCCCCCAGCCAGCCACGTTTTCTTGGGAGCAGCCAGAGCTGAGTTCAAGGCATTGCATGGTGAAGGTTTCCATGACACGTCTTTGTAGGTAGCTCTTACCCCTAAGCCCTTTGTTTAATGTTGTTAGTCATGGTAGATGGTCTGGAATTCCTAGAGGAAAAGGAAAACAAGCCACACCTCCCAATGAGCACGTGCCACGGCAGCGCAGTCCTTGGGATAGGAGTAGCAGGCTGCCTTTGGAGGTCGGCTTCTTGAGAAGTGGGTGGCCCTAGACAGGTGGGGGCGGACGAGGCTGCTGAGCATTGAGTGCCTCGACAGGAGACCGGGCACATCCTGCCCATTGGGGTACCTGTTCCACTGAGCAACTGGTTTTGTCCAAGGCATTTCTGCAGTAGAAAAATATCTGAATCAAACCACCCAACTGTGACACCTCTGGAATTTTAAGAGATGGAGGCTGATAAGAGCTGAGAGGAGGGGTGCTCATGGGGAAGAAACAGGTCCCCTACATACCCATTCATCCACCACAGCAAGGGACTTCTATTCAACCTCCTTCCAGCCTCTGCCTGGCTAAAGGTCCAAAGCAGGTAGTATTCAAAATAGCTTGTCTTGCCACTTGTCTGGCACAGATGAGTGAAAACCCCTTCCAGGCCTCTGTCCCCTTCTTCCTGAACCCTTTGAGTCTATGGTCCTGCCTGCTCCCGGGGAAGTGGCTCCCCAGAGGAGACGCTGCCATTCTTTGCTACCAGAGAAGCCTGGTGCAGAGCCACAGTGACACCTGGTGGTAAAGTATGGTGAAGCACAGGTGACGTCCACACGTCCCATTGAGTATGACTAAATTCTAAGGAAAAATACTTATGGATATTAGATACTGATTATTTTTTCTATTGGGTACATCTCTGAAATATAAAAATACCAATATTTAGAGAGGGAGTTCATAAACTACTATACAGTATAAGGACTGAGAATACCTTTCTCTAAGCTGTTCTGTTTACAATAATTTAGGAAAAGTGTTTAATAATCCAGGCTTAACTAAATAGCAACTTGTATATCTGGACAACGACCTAAGGTACTGTACATGATTCTAACTAGTGGAATTTTCCTGAGCCATCAACTTTAAGTTAAACACATCTAAAAAGAGGGGCACGTGGGAGAGGAACGAGAGGGGTTTGTGCTCTATTAACTTGGGACTTTAATAGTGCACGTCTGCAACCCGGACGAGATACAACAGCAGATACAAAATGGTCTCCATTTTGTCCATGCCAAATTCTCATGTTACACAGGTTTTCCCTTTACTTTGTAAATAAATATTAATTTTAATTGTTAATTGTGTGCCTTACTGATCCAGTAAATAAAGTAACCATGTCTCAGGAGTCCCTAAGAAAATTGCTGGAAAAGCACTTTAAAATCACTGCAAATATTTTTCTTTTGTATTTAAAAATTCTTAATCTTTTTGATGCTTATATACAACAGTTATTTCTTGTGCTATAAATGTTGTGATCCACTGCTTGATTTCTTTCCTTTTTTTCCTCTTTTTGTTCTTGAAAAATACACTAGAAGACAAGAGCGGTTCTGCTATTTTCTAATGAAGACATTACTCACACTTAAATATCCAGTATTAGAGTTATAAATTCAAACAGTAAAGTGCACCCATTTATAGACATGATGTGATGGAAACCCATTAGTGCAAGAATTCTGGGCAGACGGAACGTATAAGTTGGTGAGAAACCTGTAAGCTGAAGTTTGTCACCACTGTCGCCATTTCAGGGTGATGTGAATTGGGTGAGTGGAACTTATAACCAGTTTCAATTGAAAATTTTCCCCCATCTGAAGCCAGACACTGATTCAGCAAGTGTTGCTGGGGGAGGGGTATCTCTAAGACAGTACTGAGGTCATCCCATGGCAGTGCAGTAGCAAAACAGGGCATGGGCAGTCTGCTTACAAGGAAAAATTTGTCTCCTGCCCAAATAAGGGTCCAGTTGACATTTTCTGTTCAAAAACGACTGGCGCCCAGTAGTGATATCCACTCCCTCTTACAATGGCTGAAAAGAATTGCATTTTGACTGTTGACATTTTAGGTGTTTAGCCCAATAGGGCATAGACCCTAAGTCTCCTGTTTGTTCTGGAGAACTGAGAGACCCTTGGGGAGAAGTGGTATCAGTGCATATTTGCAAAATTGCAGAACCTCCTCACTTACCTAGACAGCTGAATGCAGGTAGTATGTGTGGTGTTCCAAATAAGCTGGGGCACTTTTCTAAGAGACACTGAGCAATTCTTGAAAATACAGCAGCTCCTCAGTGACAGAAGGCAGTTAAAAAGTGACAAGATGAAAAGAGATCAATAGGGCTGAGCCCTGGCCAAAAGAAGAACTGAAAGGCTGCTGAGTCCTGGCTAGAGGCTGATGCTATAGCTATACATTTCACCTTGGGGGTTGGGGGGCGGGGAGGGAGAGAGAAAAGGGAGGGAGGAGAAGGACAAACATTGATGGCCACCTTCCAGGTCTAGCTGAGTACAAGTCAGTCCTTAAGCATGAGAGAGAGTGAGAAGAGTCTGGGCCTTGAGTCAGCAGAGCTGTTTGTTCCTAGCACACAGAGACAAGTCCTGTTCCAGGCTTGGGGGCGCAGATATATTTGGCATAATCTAAATTAGAAATGTTCCCGATCTCAGCTTTGTGCTCCCATGTCTTAGGATCCTTTCAGAGGACATTTACTATTACAAACAGGTCTGGTCACATTTGGATTTTTATTCAGAAAGCTGCCCTTCCTGTAGCCCTTTATTAACAAGACCAGAATGATTCCTAATAACAGAGAACGGATTCTCTGCTGTTTTAGTTTGTTTGGCTAGGTTGTGTAGTTTTAAGAGTGACGTGCACTCAGTACCAGGCCTGTGTAAGGCTTTGGTTTTAGTGTTCTTGCCATCCATCTAATGCTGGCCTCAGTTACTTAAAGGTCAGGTTAGCAGATGACCACAAGATGGAGAAAATGTATAGAGAGTACCTAGACCAGAAAACCTGTCTATCTCACATACCCCGACCCAGGGCTGGAAAACAGGGCCGAAAGTGGTCTTTCTTCAACCTGAAACATTTTTTGCTGTGTCTGGTTTTCAAATATCACCCCCTGAACAAACACTCCTAGAAAAGAAAAGAAAAAACAAACAATTCTTGTAAGAATAGGTAATGAAACTATAGATCTCTAATGGAATTAGACAACATCTGGCATGGAAGGGAATGATCCTGGGTGGAAACCCTGGGAATCAGTCTTACTTTCCAAGAGAATCCAATTTGCTTCCCAAAGAACCAATTTCTTCACTATACCGTATGGATTTAAAAAAAAGAGGGCCAGTAGAACAAAGTCTGGCTCTAGGTAAAGATCCAACTAATAGGATTATTGCACCAGTCAGCCTTTGGGGAGAATTTGCTTTTCGTGGAATACGATGCTCAATGATACCTCAGGATCTAGAAAGCAGATTCCTTTAAGATAAAGATTTTCTATAGCTTTTCACTGACAATCCAGAATAATCTTTCTTTTTATGTATTTATTTATCCCTTCCCCCACCCTGGGAAAATGAATAGCTTTTAGTGGTTAATTACTGGCTAAAAACCTAGAGAATAATTCTCAGTGAATTCTTTTTAAAAATACACGATTCTCATCCAATTTCCTTGGTTGATTGAAATATTTAAAGGGCTAGCTATTTTCTAAGTGTTTCTAAAATGCCTCTTGTGAAATCAGTGGAGTGACATTTCAAACAACTATATTTTTTTTTCTTCTGATTTAACAGATTTATTTCCTCTCTCCTCTATCCTTTTACCCCTCTATGAAGACCAGCAATTATCTAAATGAACATTCTAGACCTGATGGCTGTGGGAGCTGGCAGTCCGGGGGAGAAGACCACTGGTACAAGTATGCACTGGGGCTGGCTATTTGGATAACACTGGATAAGAATGCAAAGGCAAAGGGGCATCACACTCTTTCTAAAGTTCCTAGAAGAAAACAAACAACATCTTATTATTATTTTTTTTTTTTAAGGAGAAGACATTTACACAACAAGAACATCAGTGAAAGCGATTGTCTCCTGGAAAAAGCTGACCAATGTGTCTAATCTCCCTGGGTTAAAGCACGCTGAACGGAAATCTCCTCGTTGGCATCTGAAGAGAGGGAGAGAGCATGTGGCTGGGGCACAGACAAGAGAAACTGAAGTCCTGGCTCCTTCGAGGCCAGCTTCCCAGTCGGCTGCATGCAAAGGATTTCAGCATGTGGGCTGCCACCTCTGAACACCACACAGAAACTACATGAGAAATTAAGCCAGAGAACTACCTCAAATGTGGAAACCAGGCCTGAAAATGTACAGTGAAAACATAGGGATCTCACTCCAACAAACGTCTTTTAAACATTAGACTCCACAAATGGTCTCTTTGGTTTGATAGGAGATGTCTGCCCTTGTCGAGCGTCCCGGGACAACTGCCTGTACAGATTGTCCTGGTATGCCTGAGCCACAGGTAGGGTCCGAGCCACCTTCACATCGGGATACGAGGAGGCCTGGCTGACTCTCTCCAAGAGGTCTCCCCGGGACCCGTTAGCCAGCATCCCATGGGGGCTGTAATAATCATCCTCCAACAAATGGCCATTCTGTGCATTGTTGGTTTTGTTATAAAAGGCAATGTTGCTGATGGATGATGGTGGACTGAAGGACTCAGGCTGAGGCAGGTTGCCTGGAGATGTGGGACTGATGACGGTATCCACTGATGACACTGCCCAGGTCCGATTCTGCTGGTGAAGATGAGGGTACTGTTGAGTCCGGGCTGTTTTATCTATGATCCCCATGAATGGTGTGGTCCTGGATCGCGTGGGCTCACTGGGGTAACCTCCCTGAGTGGGAGACACTGGTGACAGCTCGTCACATGACCTATCATATGCCGGTTTTAGTGGGATCTCCATTTGCTGAATCGAGGAAGATGGCCGGAAGGTAGGAGTTAGGTTGGAGGTGGATGAGATGCTATTGCTAGATGGAGAGAAGCGAAGGCCTACACTTTGGGAGTGTAGCAATGGCCTGGGAGTTGGTGGGTGGGGTTTAATTTCATTAGGGTTGACACTAATAGGTCTTCTGATTAAATGTGACACATCAGGGGAACCTAGTTGACTGGAGGAACGTTCCAGATCTAGTTTTGAATGACAGACTGGGTAATAGGATGCTGACTGGCTACGCCCAATCTGTGGTGTCTGGCTGTATCTCATGCCACCTCGATATGCTGAGGAAGGTCGCTGTGGAAGATCTTCTTTGGTCAACCCTCCATGCTGACAGATGGCACCTGCACTCAGGCTGGCTTGGACATGCTGCACAGGTCTCCCATCACCTACAATTCCCCCAATTGACCCCTGATAAACTAACCGGCTCTGACTTACTCCTATGTCTCCTTGCGACGACTGGTATTTACTAGCCATTGAATGGGCTACTTGGCCATAGGCTCCTGTGGGGATGACAGTGCTTGAATGAACTGCTGAGCTGGGCTGGTTGCTTCTTACAATCTGGGCCTTGGCAGGCTGTAGCCTGAGCCCTTGCTGGGGAACTGCTACCGGAAGCTGAGGCATCTGGTAGGGTCGCTGGGCCATTTTGGATAACGGAGATTTTGGTCTGCCAGGAAGCTGACTAACATTTGTTTCTTGCTGATATCGTATGGGTGAACCAGACTGGGACCTATACACACTCATGCCTTCAGCTGGAGGGCTGGCTCGATACTGAGGGCCTCTACGGAGAGGAGAAGGTGGAGGACTTGGGTATTCTTTGCTCTGCCCTCCCACAGGAGGGGGACTAAAACGGTAAGATCCACCTTGATGAGCTGGGGAGGTGTGTGGTGGACTAGGCCTGTAATGAGAGTTCTGGTGAGTTGGAGAAAGAGCAGGTGAGGTGGACTGATAGCTCTGTCTAGTGGGAGAACCTACAGAACTGTTGGACCGGAAGTCAAAAACTTGATGAGAGCCAAGAGGTGAGCTAGAGATATAGGCAGAATCCCGATGGGCCGGAGAAGAGGGTGGGCTCTGGATTACTGGTAGCCCCTGACTGGGCCGAGCCTCCGTCTGGAGTCCAATGGAAACATTTTCAACATCCTGCTCCAAGTACTCCTCCTCAAATATATCTTGTACAGAGTATATATCTTCATGCTGTGGTTCAGGTTCTGTTTCTTCTGGTAACTGCTGCTGAGGCTGTTGCTGAGGCTGCTGCTGCTGCTGTTGCATCTGTCTACACTCTTCCTCTACTCTCATCAGAAGTCTCTGGATCTCACGGTTGTTTGGACATAGCTTGATGGCCTCGTTCAGGTCCTCTAAGGCTGCCGCAAACTGTCTGCTTGACAAAATGCAAACATAGGAACTGGAGTTATTCTGAATCAACAGGAATCACCAAGAATTGAGAACATGGTCACTATTTCAGAGAACTGTAGTGGCATCTGTGGGAGTCTGGGGATTTGGTTTAGTTTGATATGTAAGGAAGGAAACAGGTAGGCTGTCATTCTAGAAGAGTCTAGAATGATTCCCTAGCCTGTTCAGCCTCCATCTTCCTTCTGGCCTCTCTGGGATTAGTGGGGAAACGTCCCCATTGTGTAGTCCAGCCAGGCCCTTCAGGAAGATTCTCTTAGTGCCCAAATGCACACCAGGCAATATGGGGGTTGGGTGGGGTTGTCATTTACAGGGTCACTGTCAAGTAGCTTAGGAACAAAACAGTAACTACAATATTTAAAAATCTTGCTGATCCAGCAGAAATTTTTCTTTATAGTCTCAATATTTTGGCTCCAAATTTCAGACTTGTTCCATCCTGCCAAAAACCCTGTCCTCTGCTCTTTCTACCCCTTACCCCCACAGCACTGCTGCTTCTCCATTCTGCTACATCACAGCTGGGCAAGTATTAGGCTTGCTGACTACGCAACTCAGGTGTGGAGCTGAGCAGACCCCCAAGGAGATTCTAGTTTACAAATGAGGAAATGAACTGTCAGTGATATTCTCATTCTCTCTAGTGCTAGGAAAAGGGGCAGTTGGCCTTGTGGGAAAGGAACAATCCAGAGGAAAAGAGAATTTGATAGCTAAGCTTCTGTAATAAATTTGTTACCCCACCTAGTTGAGACTAGTATCACTCCCACCATTATCTCTAGACTCCACTTGGCTTTGATTTTCAGGACCAAATCCTGCCCCTGGTCACAGCCGTGAGCCTGAAGCAATTCTTTCCTATGCAGGGTTTGAGAGAGGGCTGGGGGCACTGGGCAGGAGGCATCAAGGACAGTGGCAAGTTATCCAGGGTAGGAGATTCTGGGTCCAAGGATCACTGACCACGGGCTCTAGGTCCTTCTGGAGACTTTTCTGCCCAGTGGCCAAACTGCAGGAGATGGGCATGAGGAATGGTGTTTCTTTGGGGCCTGCTCACTCCTGGCAGTGAGGACTTTGTATCTGTGTGTGTGGGGGCTGTGGTGGTGGTGATGGGGGTGGTGGTGTGGAGGTTAGGTGAGAAGGAGGTTTGATGCCACCAGACTTGAGGAGAACCCCAGAAGGAAGACTAAATAATCCAGGGATTCCCCAAGTGCCTGCAGGAAAAGAAAGAGGAGCCTGTGATGTAAGTGACCCATCCTATTTTTCCCTCTAAAAGGAGTGGCAGGATGTTTTGCTTAAATGACCTCTTCTTTAAGAGGTGTCTCTTTATGATATCTGCTTTGGGGGTTGAAAAGTGATTGAGATATGGCAGAGGCTTCTTGGAAGAAGGTACCATTCTCCAACAATGGAAAAACATTTTTCTCCCAAAGTAAAATGCTATAAGTGTCCACAGCCCAGAGGATTTGCCAATTCTAAGCTGAGTACTATGCTCTGTGGGACATCCCCAAAGCTTGGCCCTAAGAGTCCTCAGGGACAGAGATATTTGGGCACATACGCCCCTAGGTGGCCTACATTGTCTCGGCCGTAGTTTTAGAAAAGAGACCTCTTGCTTTTCACCCTCTCTCTCTCTCCTCACCTGCTGCTGCGTTTTGCCCTTGCTCTTGCATAGTAAGCTTCATAAGATTTCGGTTTCAGCTCCAGGGCCTTAGTAGCAAATTCCTCCGCCATTCCAAAATCCTGTCATTACAATAGGTGTGCAAATGAGTCATTCAAGAGATATGAAAAATAGACAACTTGGGAATAAAACAAATAATATGTACATTTCTTTGACATTTATGGATGGAACACCTGGGATTCTTGACATGTTGGACATGGCTTTAGCCATGTGGCCCACAGACTGAAAGTTCCTTCTGCCTTTGCCCTGTGTGGCCCTGCAATCACTCACTGGAATGTATTTGTCCAAAAATATTAAAATATTTTTAATTTGCTCTCTTTCTGCCTTTCTAACAAAGTTCCTTCTAGCCCAGAAGCTAATGTCAACCCTTCACAATAAAGCTCCTGAAGTTGGAAACCTGAACTTGTTACACATGCATGTATGAGCTACATACACACATCTACACCTCACGAGGACCCTCATCCTACCCTCCACACCTTCTTGCATCCACTTACACTTGGGCTTTCTAAGTGTCAACTGAGAACACAACCTATGCAATTCTGAAGGATGGGGTCTGCATAAAGGGGAACTGCACTAACTATGGAGACCAGATGGTGTAGGGACATCAGAGAGATGGGTTCAAATCTTTGGTGTGCTTCGTAACCCTTCAGAGTGTGTTGTATATTTTGTCATTCATACCTACTTCACAAGTCGGGTTAAATGAGATAAACCACTTAAAAGCACTGTACATAGTCTTTGGCACATAGCAGATGCTCAATAAATGGTAGTTTCCTTTCTATTTCACCAAAGTTTATCTGGCCTCTTCCTCCTAAGTGGTTCCATACTTAGGAAACATTTAAGATCAAAATAAAATAAGAGAGGAGAGGTTGGGGCCTTGGCTGTGATTGGAGTCTGTCCTGTCCCATCTTCTTGATCACTGAGGCTCCTTGGAAGAACATCAGAGCTATCTGTCCTCATTCCAAGAATCCCTGGCAACACTGACCAGGGGAACAAAATTGACTAAGCAGGATCCATGGTTTTAAAAGACCCTTAAATACTAAACTGAAAGGGTAGGTTTTTCTTCTCTTTTAATGTCAAAGCCATAATGCTGCACAGTAGACTCTGCTTACACTTGTGACTCCTAAAGCAGAACACAAGGTCTTAGGCAGAACAAAGTCCCTGGGGCATAGGTAACATTTAAAAAAAAATTAATGGCAATTTTCTACAGAGCCAGACTTCTGCTGCTTAGCACAGTGTTGGTTCATGGGAAGTGATCATCATCTGTTTCTGAACTGTGGACCTAGAGAGAAAGCATTCCATCTTCTACCCCTACTTTGTTTCCTACTCTTAGCCTCATTTATTTATTTATTTTTTTGGGACAATCAATATTTCTGGGAAGATTACAGTATTTTTAAGAAGCAGATTATTTGTTAGAGAAAAAAGAAGTCAGTCAGCAGGTTGATAACAGCCTCTGAGCTTTGTCTCATTCTCACTAGCTGGTGTCACAGGATGCCCTTGGTGTGGTTTCTTCTGTTTCACAGGAGAAACCATAAGCATAAGACTGTCACTTTCCTTGAAGCTTCTCTTCCCTCGCCAAGCACTCTGGAGCAACTCTGCCTCTTGGGGTCATAACTGTGTTCTCGGAGACAGCCAAGTGTATATCAGGGACCTTTTCATTGCTAGGTTTTAGATGGATGATATGAGGTCATACACACAAACAGTCTTTCTGGAACTGATAGCAGATCTCTTGCCATTGAGGCTTAAATCTTGCTTCTTATAGCTGAGTTCTTTATTGACCAACATTCTTGTTTGGCTTGGATCATTTCTATCTCCTAAGAAACTGTGAGACCTCAGGCTGGTGGGTATCAGAGATTCCTGGTATGATGTTGGCTCTTCTCCATATCTGAGTGCAGTGTCTGCATGTCAAGGGAGCAGTTGCTGAGGACATCAGAGACTGTGTCTAGAAGGCAGGCAAGAAGGACCAAGGACCACTTGGGAGATAATAAAAGACCAAAAAGAGTTCTAAGATTCCCTTTGAGACAAGAAGGAACATGGCATGCTGGAATAAAGAGATAAGGAAAGATGTGAAAAGTTCAAGATTAGCCTTCGATATAAACCCTGAAGTCCATGGTCCTGAGTCCTCTTTCTAGCCCTTCCTTAAACGACTAGGGAGTCTGCTAGAAAGGGAGGGAATGGTTACAATTCACAGCTAACTGAAGCTGGAATTCTTGTGACCACTGCTCTCACATCTTCCCAAAGACCAGAAAACTGATTTAGGGAGATGATATTCCAATCACTTTCAGTGGGAATTATGAAAATTCAGAAAGCTATGAAGTACCCCCAGCATTAACTTTTTTAATATTTTGAAATACAGATTGTACTTAGACTTGATTTCTTTCAAATTGCAAATGTCAGTGCTCTGTGAAGGACAACCAAGTTCCAAATAGGGCAGAGAAGGATTTCAGAGGCCTGGTAAAAGCTAGTGAGAGACACGGACTGTCAACTTTCAGGACTGCACAAGAGTTGGGATGAGAGGGACTTACGTTCATTTTCCTGCGACATCGAGACAGGTTGAGGAGGAGAGACACCTTTAGTTCCCGGAAGGTTTTCAAGTCCTCACCAAACCCTTCTCTAGGGAATTTCTTCAGAGCGTACTGGTAGCGCTGGGCAGCTTCCTTTACTTTACCTTTCTAATGGGGGTACAAGACGCAAAACACACCATTGGTCTGGTGAGCAGCTGAGGAAGTTTGGTCCCCACTCCCTTCCTCTTCTCAGAAGTTATCACTAAGAGTTAAAAAACAAAATAACCAAACCCGATGCCGTCTAGTCAATTCTGACTCATAGCAACCTTATGGGACAGAGAAGAACTGCTCCATAGGGTTTCCAAGGCTGTAGATCTTTACAGAAGCAGACTGACAGGTTGGTAGGTTTGAACCACCGACCTTCTGGTTAGCAGCCAAGTGCTTAACCACTGTGCCATCAGGGATCCTTCTCACTAAGGGTTAGTCCACCCAAACACCAGCCTAGGGAATAACACTCTGGCCCTGACAGTGAGAGAAGAAGGACCCAGTCTTTTCCGTAGGAAATTCACCCAGTATGAAAGGCAACGCTAAAGAGGACACCCAAGAAACAAACCAGAAAAATAAAGCTTTGGCTAACGAGAGGGCCTGGCCCTCAGCTTCCCAACTGGATTCTAAAGGGACCAACCTTGTTCATTTCAAAGGAGCTTTTTATGAACTGATCTCCCTGGAAGGCATCTCATTTCTTAGTTCCAAGCACTCTAAAGTTATTACTTTCTTAATTTTTGGCTTGTCTGGAGAACTCTCTTTTCTTGTTTGATGTTCCACCTTGCCAGTCCTCTAGAAGAGGTCATTCCCTTCCTCAAAGAGGAAGAGTCTAGCTGCTGAGAATCTAGAACAGTCTAGCTGCTGCTTCCCTAATCTCATGGGATAAAATATTATCAGTTTTTCCCATTTTTGGAAAAGGCATGAGGTGGGGAGGTAGTTGAGAAGTGAAGTTTGGAATTTGTGATTCTATCTGAATTTGTAGGAGGGGTTTTCCAAGATGAAGCAAATCTATGACCAACTTAGGGACCAACCACAGGGGCCTTGAGCTTTTCTTACTTTTTGTATCTGAAAATCTATAAGCTGAGTCCACAAAGATGCAGGAAGCATCTGCTACCCCTTTAGCTGATTTTTATCAGCCCCATTCCTTCTGTATAGCTGCAATCCCACCAGGATACCACTCTTTTATTTTCCCCTCAGCACGTTTCACTAAGGAGAGATGTGAAGTCTTCCAAGGTAGAATTCTTAGTGAGAACAGTAGTAGCTCTGCCTACTGTCATTAGGAGATAGGACTCTTTGCCTTATAATACCAGAGTTATGTTAATAACCAGGGCTTAGATTCTTGAGAGCAGTGCCATTCTGAAATCCGGAATGGCACTGACACCTACAGTGATGAGGTTCTTCTTCGAAGTCATGTGAAATCACGGCTGCGTCAGGGCTCGAGTTTCCTGAAAGTCTAAGGTCCTAGATTTTCATGACTCTCACTCAAAGGGTACTTGGGAAATAGAACCCTGCTCCCAGGAACTTTGTACACTTTTGCCACAAGGAGGGGAACAATGTGCTTAATAATAATTTCCTCATCTTTTAGGGCTGGGGATGTCTCAGTGACACCCACTGCCAAGAAGCTAGGTTGGATTTGTATTCACCTTCAAGAGAAGACCCAGCTAATCTTAACACAATGAGATGATTTTGACATGGAACATTCTTAAGGGACTTTCTATAGGCCATGGGAGTTTGTTTGTATTAGGGTACAGAGCCTTCAGCTTGAATGGTGAGTACAAAAAGACTCCATACATTTTTTTGTTGTTATTCAGTGAGTGACTTCAAGCAAATCTTATAATTGCTATTTGCCTTGGTTTCCTTATCTTACGCAGGGATGCAGATAAGCTATTATTACTATAGACTTTTTAATCGATGTATTTATTAAATATTAAAGCTAAGATCAGTGTCTCTTTCCCACAGATGGGAAGTATCTGTACTACATAATTTTACTTTTATTTGTCCCACGAGTTTCCAGATCCTACTTAGCAGGTTCCATGTAAAATCTATGTCATTAACCACCCATTCATGACCAGGTAAAACTAGATCCTTAGGTTTATCAGCTGCAGGCATGTGTAGGATACTCTTGCTCTCTTGATGGGAAGGCAAAAATCCCAGGATTCCCATCTTATGAGCCCATTATCCACTGAGGAATGGCATTCTCCCTCTGCCTCTAAAATCAAGGATGCAAACTGTCAAGACTTGGGTACAGTCAGTGGCTGTTTTGAGGAAACTCTGTCCTTCCCTTCTCTCACCTTGTAAAACATGTCCCCCTCTTCCATCAGCTTGCTCAACAGGATGATCATGATGTCTGGTTTGGAGGTGGCCATCGCCCATGTGGCTGGACCTGTGGTGTACAGGATGCATGATGGGTAAAAAACTCATACAATGTAAGGGTGGTAGGAAGCTAGGTGAAAAAAAACATCCTGGGGGAATTTCTGCTGAGAGAACAACTTGCTCCACAATAACTTCTTCTTCATCTTTTAGACCTGGGAGTATCTCAGTGACTCCCACTGCCAAGAAGCTGCATTAGATTTGTATTCACCTTAAAATAAGAATATCTGAACTGTCTGAGCTTGCACCACAGGAGGGCAGCAGAGCCTGCGTGTTGCATTTAGGCAGTCAATGGCTTAGTTTGGAGTTATTTTAATAAGGAAATTGGGAGAAGGGATTTATATTAAATGTCACTGCAAGATTTTAAAAATCCAAAAAGGTAATTTATTTTAGAATCCTGGACTCAAATCTCCCAGCTGTTTAGCTTCTTAATTTTGAAATATGTACTTTGCAGAAGGGAAATTGTTAAAGACTAAAGGCTCCCTTAATTTATAAGTACCAAACAGGACTCCCTGGGATTCACTTTGAACCAGGAGCACAGTTGGAATACCAAACAGACATGAAACAAGTCAGCATTATTGAGGGCTACTCTACCCACGAAGGAAAGAAAAGGTTATATTGATTAGTTTATAGATGCCTGAATTAGTTACAAACTAAGCTTTTCAGGGTTAGTTATCAAAAGTTCAAGTTATTCTCTACAACAGTCGTTAAAAAAAGTCTTCTTTTAAGGTGAAGTAAATTAAAAGATTAGAGGTGTAGGGAACTCATGCAGGCTAAATCAAAGAGGAGAAGGCAAAGCTGACCAAGCCATCAGACCACGCCTGATGCTGACAGCGGTGAAATATACCTCGTGGGCGACTCGGTAACGTCTGACAACCTTCAAAGAAAGGAGAAAACAAAAAGTTGTAGGAGAGGGGAAAAAAATGGATGAAGGTGAAAAAAAAAAAAAAGAAGGAAAAAGCAGCAGTGAGAGGCAGGCAGCAAAAAAGCCAGCATATCAGCCAACCCTTGTCTACAGGTCTGTGGGATCGGGGAGCAGCTGGGGCAGCAGCAGCAGGGACTTCAGAGTCTGAAGCACATACAGAGCAAGGGAAAGCAAAGGCTCACGGCAGTGCAGGAATCCAGGATGCTTATAGGGTGGGGTTGGGGCAGAGGAATTAGCACTAAGATGTGCTCAAGGTCAGAGCAGGCTCCTCACTAAGGCTACTAGGGGCATGGCAGATAACCATGTGACTCTGAACACAGGGTACTGCAAATCATGGCTCAGATGGTGCTTTCTCTGGGCCAAGAGCCTTTCTGTTCACTTGGACAGTAACTGGGCCAGGGCAGAAGGGAAACTATATACACTCACACAAAACACCCAGGGTAGCCAGACCACTGGACCAGTCTGGCCCCTGGGCACAGATGGCCAACGCCTTCTTCCCTTCTCCTACCTATCTTGGCTCCTTTCTTCAGAAGGGTGACAACAACAGAAGTGTTCCGGCACCCCACTGCCCTATCCAGAGGGCGCATTCCGCTGTAGTCAACGTGTTCGATCATGGCCCCATGATCCACCAGGAACTGGACCTAGAAGATGAACCAAGCAAAGCAGTTAACAGGTGTTATAGTTCCACTGAGGGCTCTGGCTTTTGCCTGCCCTTTCTTTATTCAACTGCTGGTCTGAACTAGGCTGTGCAGCCACGGTATTTCAGGCTACAGCCATATACTTGGTCTTTAATGGTGTTTTGGATATCCCTGCCCTCTAGCAGGTATAGACTCAAGAACTTTGTATCAGCATTCATCAAAACATCACTCTACCCTCAACCCCAGATAACATGGACTGGGGAGCCTTCCCTATCCCTACTCCCCTGAGGCTTGTTTAAAGGCACTCACCACCTCTGCATCACCATAGAAAGCTGCCAGATCCAGTGGGGTGCGGCCATTTTTGTCAGCATGGTCTGTGGCAGCTCCGTTATCCACTAGAGAGCGTACTACTGAGAGATGACCCTTTAAACAAGCCCAGCTGAGGGCTGTCAGTCCTTCTTTGTCCATTAGAGCAATGGAAGCACCTACAAGAGCAAGTGATAACACAGGACTGAGGAAACCTGAACATTCATAGCAGGAGGGAAAGCTGGTACTTAAGGTATAGATTCTGCTGAAGAACATCTTTTGTTTCTAGACCATTACCATTTTAAGATTGATCCTGGTGTATGAATTATATCTCAATAAAGCTGTAGGGGGGAAAAAAAGATTGATCCCACAAGCAGCCCAAGAATAGAGTCCAGATGCTTTATTGAGTATTGAAGGTTCTCCACAAAATCTATACCCAAGTTTACTCTCTATCCTTAAGTTTTATTACTGCCCTGTGAGAATTCTCAACTTTGACCAGATGGATATGCTCACTGCCTCCAGAATCTACTATAAATATTCCTGTATCCTCACTTTTGATTATGTTGCTCCATGTGTGCAGTACCTTTCTTTCTCCATAACTTGCCTCACCTTCTACTCATTCTCTAGGAACCATCCCAAGTCCACTGACTTCAAGACGCTTCTTCCTCACTGTTAACTCATCTTGAATCCACCTGACATATGTCACCTTATTCTGTTATCTTTTTTTTATGTATCCCACTTGCATGTAATAAATTCTCAGTGAATATTTTCTGAACTGACCGGAAGTCTTCCATTTATAATAGTGTAAACTCCTTGAGAGATTCTCATAAATAGGAGCTCAGTTCATGTTTTTCATTGATGATACTACCAGGCTGATTTCTCCTCCCTAGAAAGAGGAGGAAATGGACTCATGGGAGGATACTGAGCTCAGGCCACAAAGGAAATTCAGAGCTTACTTAAGCTAGTCAACCTTCCGTAATAACACCATCTCCACTTTAACACCTTTTATAGTTTGCATCTGCTTTCTTTCAGCACTTCTATTTTTTTTTTAAAGTAATTTTTTTTTAATCGTACTTCAGGTGAAGGTTTACAGAACAAATAGTTTCTCATTAAACAGTAGAACACATATTGTTCTATGACATTGGTTA